TCTGATATGTAATATGTATGTATTTACGGCACCATCATATGTCAATTTACTTAAGTATTAATAAAAGTCTGGGGCAGAAGCTACACCCCAAATATTAAAAAAAAAAAAAAAAACTTTTCAGCAAATAACTCACTAAGCATCCATTTAGCATGACTATCTCTTTGAGAATGTTCATGATTTAAATAAAAATCTGAAGATAATTTTCCAATTGTCATTTAATTTTTCATCTTCAAGTATCAATTCCCATAAACTTAATACCTTTTCTAAGTTGTGTCTATTTCTTTTTGCAGAGTTTTGATTAACTAGTACTTGTAATTCATTTTTGCTATCAGTGTCTTGGTCTATATCATTTGTTGGTACTTCTAGTTCTTGGGTTGAACTTTTATTAGCTTCATGTAATATAGTAGTTATTGTAGAATTATGTATTTGTTTAATTTGTTGAGCTTGATTTATTACACCCTTTATTTGAGCCATTGCTAAAACTTTAGGATACTAAAAAAAATAAATAAATAAATATATAAGGCCATATAAACTTAATTTTTTGGTTCTCATAACCTGGCTGAGTCATATTTTGAAATTTTTTTGAAAAAAATTTTTTATATGTTCTAATAGGCAGGTGGGATTTCAAAAAAAATTTTAAAAAATTTTATAAAATTTAAAATTTTTTATATATAAAATTTTTAAATAAAAGTCCGGGTGGGCAGGTTATTTTTTTTGTCCCATGTTATGAGAACCAAAAAATTAACTTTGTATAGCCTAACTAGGAATAGCAAATATTTTAAAACATTATGTTTTAAAACATGTTTTAAATATTTTAAAATATTGTAAATTTTCAATAAAAAACAAGAATAAATCTAACTATAACCAGTGGTGATCATCACCAGGGTGCCTATATCTCAAGAATGTACTAAGTAAACGGGATCAGGTTTTCTAAGCAAAAATGTTCAGGACCCCAAAAACCTCACAAAAACTGAAATCAGGCCTATTAGGCCCTTATAGTAGCTTTATATTATATTATATAAAAAAATAATAATTTTTTAATTTCTAACCCTAACCCTAAAAATAATTAGAGTCATCACTAGTTATTTTAAGTATATTTCAAAAAACAATAAAAATCAAATATATATTTATTAACCAATTAGATTATAGAATTTTAATTATATTATTATTTGTAGAATTGTGCTATATATAGTCAAACCTCTATAAATGCAACCTCCATAAATGCAACCTCCCCTCTCTAAATGCACATTTCTGGCCTGGCTATAAGAAATCATTAGTGCTAAATACACATTCTATATTCTGCAAATGCACGTTCACTCAAGAGATTTTCTATATCATGCTAACCTTCCTAAATGCATGTAGCCAATCAGAATTCAATATTAAAGTTGTGTTATACAAGCCTGCAAATCAAACATTAAAAGCTGCAATTTGATTGGCTTTCTCTAAATACAAACCTCTCAATACACGATTGAAGCTAGTCTGTACATATTGCATTTATGGAGGTTTGACTGTATGCAAAAATTTTAGAATATTTTAGAACAAATTATAAATCCAAAAATCATATAATTAGCATATACTTATTTAAAATAGCTACCTATTTGAAGTTGCTACTTTAAATATCTAATAGCATCTGGCTAGAATTATATATCTATATGAAGTTTCAATTTTAAGGGTAGAGTGAACAGTCTTCATTTTTAATAGTAATTACTTGACAAATATAGTAAAAACTGATTTTTATATGTTTTTACTATTTTGATTTTCCTAAGTTGCACAAAATTTGCCTAAGTTACATAATTAAATAACATATGATCATTACCTGATTTCAATTGAATGTTATTGTAAAAAAATTTAGTAATGTGATTACTATTGAAAATGTAGATCTTTCACCCTACCCTTAAAGTTTAATATTAAAAATAGCAACTTAGATTAATTGCAACTTTATAAAAAATATTTTTATATATTATTTAATAAAAAACATAAAAAATGTTTTAAAACATGTTTTAAAACATATTTTAAAATATAAAAAAATAAAAAACATGTTTTTTGCCATCCCTAAATATAATTATATATATTTTTAATAAATTTATTTTTTACTTTTAATCAGCATCTTGAAGCTGAATATAAATGACCCATTGAAAACCATAATCTTTCAACTGATGCAGTATTGATACAAATACCCATTATTTGACAAGCTACAAATCCTAACTCTTTTGTACTATGTGAACACCAATTCCAATATTTAAAAATATCTTGCTTAAATTGATCAAATGATGCATCATTAAATGAAAATTTTTTAGTTTGATAATTATCAAATTCCTGTAAAATACTTGTTGGTGTAGTATCTGTCTAAGTAATATAATAATAAAGTAAATATTCACTTAAATCAATCCAGTTCAAATATGCTAAATTATTATTGAACTTATCAAGATGATATTTGGAGTAAAGAACCTATGATAAAATGATTATGAGTTACTCCCATTGTTGCCAATATTTTTCTAAATGATTACGTAATTTTATACTAAATTGTGTATCAGAAAGTTCAGATAAAAATTGATAAAAGTATCCAAAAGAATGAATTATATCATAAAGATGTGCTTTATCTCATTGTAAAATATTTAAACAACCACAATATAGTAAAAGAAGTCGTTTAATAATTGCTATATAATGCCAAAATTTAAAATCATTAATTGGATCACAAATATAACTAGATAATACCAAGTTATCATCATTATTTTCAATTAATTCTTCGTCAATATTATTTTGAGGTTCATATCATGCTACAAGTGTCTAATAAAAAATATTTAAAATAATTATTTTAACAAAATATATAAAATAAATAAAGTAAAAATTACCTTTAGAGCTTTTTTGGTTCATAGAAACCACCAAAACAGTAATAATAACTGTTCCAACGTGTATTACCAGGAACAATTAGAGCTTGTAACTTTTTATATATTTGTATTTGAATATCATGAAGCTTTCCAGCAAAATAAACATGCCTTTTACTTTTAAAATACATTGCAATACGTGTAGCTTCTAAAGCAGTAGTTTTAAATGTATCCAATTCTTTGAAAATTTTACCTATACACAAATTAGCTTGATATACAAAGTATGGCAAGTATATAATTTTAAGATTTTTAACTTGGAGTTGTTTTCTTGCTGCAGCATATGATAAATGACTATCTGTTACTGCTATTTTTATTTCCTCATCTGTTACAGTTTTCATAATTTCATTAATTTTATTTTTTACTTCTTCTGTACGTACTCTTTTACCACTAATATCAGCCACTTGCCAAACCAATACTTCACCAGAACTTGTAATTAAAGTACTTCCTATAATTGATTGATTTATAATATTTGTCCAACCGTCCATAGCTAGAGTAACACCATAAGAATCTTCTTTAGCCTTTACTTTAATATCTGCAATTATCTGATTTGAAACACATGTTAAAATTTCACTACTTAATTTTCGCTATTCAGAAAAATTGCATCAAGGATTAACAAATTCAAACAATGTAATAGTATCTGGATTTTGAACCTAACGAAAACTCTACCTATTTGAAATTGTTGCTTTCAATAACAAATAATTGAATTTATCTAAATTATTTCTTGTAAAATGGCGAAGAGCAAAATTATCTAATGGTCCATTATTTAAAGATTTGGCTATTATATGCGAATTTTGAGCATTAGCAAATAATGAACTTGATGCATAACTTGATAATGAGGTATGATATAACTGAGCTGAGATAATTGATTTATTATTATCTTGCTGTATACGAAATCTTTTTCCTTGATGTTTTTGTATTGTTGCTTCACTATCTGTATTATTTACAATTGCCTATGCTTCATTTTCGCCATATTTTTGCTTAAATAATTTGCATTTTTTAAAATGATCTTTGCAACATTTTTTAGTATTTGTAAACTGTTTTTCAAGTGCATAAGGATGTCCTTTTATTTCTAGACAAGCTAGATATATTGCATATTTGTTATATTTGTTAGCTTTTTGATCAAATACTTCAATATACTGTAAGAAGTTAACCAATGATGATGTGACATTATTCTTGGTGTAAAATTATCAAATAACCTTTTCTTTTATACTTTATAAAAGAATTAATCTAACTTATTAATTAGAATATTGAAGTTAAATTATAAAAAATTCATTCCATTTAATAATAATTATACAATAATGGTAATTGTAAAGTTTTTATATTTAATTTCAATTAACTACTATTTTTATTAGATTCATGTTTTAAACTAGACTAGTATATATAATTGTTATAAAGTTTTATTTGCAATTTTTTTTATATTTTAGCTTTATAATAGTAAATTTAATTTCTATTTAGTTAATTTTTTAATTATATATTGATGCTAATATAATTTATATAAAAATTATAGAATTCGTACATATTAAGAATTATTATAATAAGGAAAGAGACTATCTTTTATAACAAGTTGCATATTGCATAGCCAAATATAAAGATATAAAGTGTATCAGTATATACGTATTAGATATCTAATTTTTAAGAGTTCTTATTTATTTAATTAATATTAATATGTTTAATCATCTATTATAATATTCGAGTTAGTAATCCTGATAATTCAAGTTTTATACAATGAAATTAACACTTTTAAATAATTTATTTATAAAAAAAATAATTTTCTTTTTATTACAAAACAAGTATTTTTGTTATAAGCTCTTATATTCTTATATTTACATAATAAGAAGCTGACTTCTTAGTTGTTTTATTTGGAGTATTAGATTTGGTAAATATACTAACTACAATTATTTATTTATGTAATATATTCTTTATTATAATCTCAGAAGATTATATCAATCATTTTTTATATTTACTTTTAATAAACTTAACTAATTTAAGAGCTCTACCAGTTTTTTACTACTGTGTACTTTCTTCACTATTGATTATTCTTAGATTTTACAGATATATTTCTCTGTTATTATCTATTTTTAGACTTTTCTAATTTTCCTACTACAAAACTCTCCAATTTATTTTTTATATCTACGACTATAAAATCAGGCTTATTGATTATAAACTATTCTTAATTTAGTTGTATAAGCAGGCCATTTGATTGTCTATAAGGCAATTATGCATATTTTATTCATTACATGCATTAATCGGGTTCTGGACCATGAGCGTCAATCATTCTTGTTAGGTTACAGGCTTTTTGTTTAATTGTTATTAAGTATTTTGGGTTGATCTATATTATTATTTCTAATTGGATAATTTTTATTTTACATGATTGGACTATACAGTTATATCTGAGTTATATCTCCACTGGGTTATATCCCAACCTGAGTTATATTCTCATTTTTTAGCAGAATAAATTTCTCTTTTTTATATAGTTTATATATTGAGTTATATCACCAAAAATGCTCTAGAAAAAGGGGGATATAACTCAGATACGACTGTAATTAGACCCTATTATATATGTTCAGTTACTAATGGTCTAGCGGAATGGACCTGGACTGGAATATGCATTCTAGTAGACTGGACTAATCTGAATAACAACTCTGTCTATAATATATTATATAAAAAAAAAATAATTCATAATTTTCTAACCCAACCCTAAATTTTATTAAAAGAAATTATACATAGGTGCTAAAATACTATAGGTGCATTTTATAATAATTGTATAAAGAAATATACTCAAAATAATCCATGGTGATCATCACCATCCCTAATTATTTTTAGGGTTAAAGTTAGAAATTAGAGAATTATTTTTTTTTATATAATATATATAGAGCTACTATAAGAGCCCAATAGAGCCCAATCTTAGTTTTTGTGAAGTTTTTGGAGTTCTGAATATTTTTACTTAGAGAACCCAATCTAGTTTACTTTAGTATATTTTTGAAATATAAGCACTTTGGTGATGATTACCACTGGTTATAGTTAGATAAATTCTTATATAAATATACAAAATTACTATAGTAATTTTTATACAACTTTTGTACAATTAGAAAACTATATACCAAACTTCTTACTAACTGCCTTAACAATACTCTGTCTTTACACAACATTCTTTCTCCTTTTAACTATGTTGTCCTTTCTGGCAATTCTACTTCTATTCCTATTCATATTTTGAACAATACTATTGAAGATACTAACTGTCAATCTAATCAACTTTGACTTTTCTCAAGGATATGAGTAAAGACTATGACTCTGTCAGCTTTGAACTTTTTCAAAAATCACTTCATAGACTTCAAATGCCTATATAGCTTATTAATATTCTCTCTAACATTCTTTTTAACTAAACTAATTGTGTTATTACCAACCTTGGTTTTACTTATTTTTATTCAGTTAAAAATGGTATTGACTAAGGTGAAACTATTACTTCTCTTTTTTAGCGAATTTACTATGACCCTCTAATCTCATATATCTTTTCACACTTTTCTGGCTACACACTTTCTACATCCTGGTAACCAAGTCTTACTCACTCATCTATCAAACACTATTATACTTCTGTATCAGTTCTTGCCTATATGGACAATACTATTTGTATTATTCAATCAAAAGAAGAACTTGACAAAATTATCAATACTTTAACTTCATTCTATAACATGGCCAATATTCAAGTCAATCCTTCTAAATCTATTCTAATATCTAAATATCCATCTGCTTCTGTTTCTTTTCTTAATTCTCAACTCTCATCTATTCCAACTCATTAACCATTCAAGTTTCTGGGCTGCTGGTTTACTATTAATAATAAGCATATACAACAAATTTAACTTATTCAAGATAAAGCTCTATAGTTAGCTAATATTGCCAATACTAAAACTATTACAGATAAACAAATCACCTATATAATTAATACTGTTATTATTCCT